AAGTCTACGCCCTTCCCCCCCCCCCCCGAACGAAATGAAATTTATATAGAAAAATATATACTTTTAACAGTGTCCGCCCCCCCCCCCCGTCCCCGGAGAAAGTCTACCGCCCCTCCCCCCACTCCCGAAAATGTCAAGTGCCCCCCCCCACCCCCCGGAGAAAAAAGTCTGGAATAAACACTGGTTGTTCCTCGTAAGCACTATCTATTAAATTATAATTTTCTCTTTGCAGTTCGTCTAATGCTTTTTTTTTAAATATAGCTTTATTATAATTATACATTTTTTCAAACACAATTCACACAATTCAGTTGTTGATGATTTATGCACTTATTCTGAATTGCTTCAATTTTGTCATGGTAAGCTTTCGTTACACTTTTTAGACGCAACAAAGCAACTAAGTTTTTTACATATAGATCAAGATATATATATATATATATATTATATATATATATATATATATATATATATATATATATATATATATATATAGGCCTATATATATATATATATATATATATAGGCCTATATATATATATATATATATATATATATATATATATATATAGGCCTATATATATATATATATATATATATAGGCCTATATATATATATATATATATATAGGCCTATATATATATATATATATATATATATATATATATATAGGCCTATATATATATATCCAGCAGAGATTAACTTTTCTGTTTTTTTTACGTAACTCTTTTTCCTAAATGATAAAAAGAACGGCGGAAAGTTTTTGCACCGACCTAGACTCTATGGTTGCGACGACCTTTAGCCTACGACGCAAGACCTCTCGAGCACATTCTACTAGCGCTTTTTATTTGAATATCTGATTTTAACGTGATTATTTTGAGTTTTGTAGCTGAAATGTTTGTTACAAAAACAACATAGAAAGGAGATCAGAACATGAATATAACTGAAAGTGTCACTGAAAATTTTGCTACAAAACGTCACAGAAAGAAGATCAAATCAAACCACAAGTCAAGACTGCTTTGTTCTACAATAGTGTTTTAATAACTCATAATAAACAACTTCATTTTTTTTAAAAATATAGTTAAACCAATCAACAAGCTTAAATGATAGATATTTGAACCTAATAAAGTAACAATGAGAACAACATGGATGACTGAAAAGGCAGCCCACATACATTTGAATCTGACCCGAGGGCTAAGGAAATGTAATGTGGGGACTAAGACGTGGAGATTACAGAAATGTAACTTGGGGGAGGGGAACAAAGAAATGTGAAGTGGGGCTAATGAAATATGACGGAAACGATGTTTATTTAGAAATATAAATAATGACAAAAGCGCTTTTTTTTTTAAATCTAGATTTTAAAGTGATAGGAGCTAGAGCCTAGTCCGGTCTGTTTAAATGTGTGTGTGTGGGGGGGGGGGGGGGTATTTTTATAATCTCACATGACAACATGATATGAAGACCATAATTAATCAGATAATGTGGTCAGGCTTTTAAGGGCAGGATGGGGGGTAATTTGAAAAAATTAACATTGACAAGGTTATTAAACTTTTAAAAAATAAATAGTTCTATCGACAACATACAGGAATTTTGCCATCCTGTTAGTATAAAAAAATATTGTTGAATAACTTTTATCATATGAAATAATTATCGCAACATTTTTTATTCCTTAGATGGAATAGTAACAACAATGATTTTAAGGTAGTTTAAACCAAATAGCCATACATTTACAAAAAACTCACTCGTGCAATTAGACACATGTGCTATATCACATATAAATCTTATTTAAATAATCTCCTATACACATACTTAATTCAGCATGTAACAACAGTTACTGATACAACCAACTGATATATTATATGATAAATAAATAAATACCATATTAAAAAAAACAAGGTGTCATGTTATAGAAGAGACAAGAAAAAATAATTCAACATACGGCCTTAACTTTACACCACTGGACACAATATCTCAAATTTCTAGAAAGAATTAATCCACAATTTATTTTTAAAATCTTATCTCAACTTTCTACCATAAAACAAGTCTTAAATCTTTTGCACCGCGTTCAAATTTCCAACACAAATTGATCTCAGCTTTCCAATTACCTGGCATAAAACCACCTCCATTCATTTTATATCATGGATAGTGATCAAGTAACTACCACAACTTAAGATGATCACTGATTGCTTTCTTACACAATGATCATGAAACACATTTAACAACATTTTCACTGGTCAAATGGATTTTCCAAAAATAAAAATAAAAATGTTATTAAACTGGAAATGTTTTATGACTAAAAGTAAATTGTGATAGAGTATACTGGACATGGTAAATTATCAAGTGACTATGATAAATGTTCTTAATTTATAATAAATAAAAACAAACTGTATATGACATAATAAAGCAACTATAAAACATAATGTAATTTAAAAAGAAATCATGTAAGGATAATAGTAGTAACATGATAGTGTAGGCCCATAATGTAGGCCTATACATTAGTTTCACTTACATAATGTAATCATTCAATTTTTTATTCATCCAGATATAATAACATTATTTAATGTAAAAAACATTTTTTTAAAAATAAATGTACACATAATGTAAACATAATGGTTTTATTTACATGGTGTAAACAGTATTTTTAACTCAATGCAAATAATAGTTTATACACCAAACTACTAATCTTAACACTGTCAACACTAATTTTCCTGGCTCGATGTTCATGTGATTTCCTGTTCTGAGGTCCCTGATTGGTCAGCTGAAGGTCTGTGTGTAGGTATAAGTGTGGTCTCAATTAGAAGCTTTCATCAATACATTTTTAACAACTCTTACAAATAATATATAACGAATTTTACAAATACTTTTATAAAGTCTCTTGTAAATAAATTTATAAAGACTTTTATAACTATATTTTTAAAGATTTTTATAAAGATTTTTATAAAGATTTTTTTATAAAAATATTCTTAAATATTTTTATTTAAAAAATTTTTAAGTTCATGAATATAGTTCATGAAATCTGTTTTGTTACTAAAAACATTCTAATGTGAAAAGAATATTATATGTTGTGTCTATTTTTTTTACAAGCCTCACCTTCTTCCTCCTTATAACAAATTATACACACACACATATACATATATATATATATATATATATATATATATATATATATATATATATATATATATATATATATATATAAATTTTATATACATATATTCATATATATATTTATATATATATATAAATATATATATATATATATTTATTTTATATATATATTACAGATATATATCTATATAAAGAAAGAGATATAGATATATATAGATATCTCACTCAGGCGCACTTTATTAATATATTGCTCTCGTGCACTTTATTACTATCTTGCTGTGGTGCACTTTATTACTATCTTGCCCTGGTGCACCTTATTACTATCTTGCTGTGGTGCACTTTATTACTATCTCGCTCTGTCTTGCTGTCAAATTTGAACTGTCCTTGACTAAGGTCATTAGTTCTATTGCCTGCCCTGATAAAATCCAATTATAAATCATATCATGTAAGTCAGAGGTGGGTCTTGACCTCCACCAAAGCCCTGGTATTCAGCCTAACCATGTTCCATATTTTAAAACCACTGCTACTTACATTTTATATATATGTATGAATTTATATATTTTTGTTTTATCGATGTTATATATATATATATATATATATATATATATATATATATATATATATATATATATATATATATATATATACATCTTTCTCCGTTTTCGTTCATCTCACCTACATATATCTGCTGTCTTAATTGAACTTTTTTAAAAAGTATTTTGTTATTTCGGTTTAAATGTTATAATGCAATTAGGTGCTGAGTTCATCGTCTCAACTATTGCTATGAAAAGTAAAAGTAAGTAACATAAAGAAGAATGGTTAATACCAACCTCTGGCCCTTAAGATACAGTAATTGTAGAAAGGAACTCTCTTTCTTCTGTTTAAAAAGTTTAAAAAATACTTTTATTTTCACAATATCTTTCTAAACTACAACAAACATGGAAATCATATCACCTAACTCAGAGAGGGTGGAGGAATGGTCTGACAGACACTAATTTTTAAAAAATATTTTCATTTAGATAAAATTCATCTCAACTACAACACATGCACACATGGCAGAGTTGCCAATGTGAGTAGTCTTACTAACGAGTCTAAGTCGCAATCAAACGAAGGTAATTTACCTTTGTTTTCACAAAACTATCTTTCCATGGCCATTATCAGAGGAGAATAGGTCTTAAAACATCCAAACTCATAGAAATTGAATTTTAAAAATTAAAATCTTCATACAAGGGATTTAGATTAAAGAAGTTTAGATTTTAATTTTAACTCATAAGTTACCCTAATAGCTTTGACACTTGGACTGAACAAAATGAAATGGGGAGAGTTTGGGGGAATGTTTCAATGATACTGAATTTACAGAGTAATTGAATTAATTTTTTTTTAAACTAATTCATCAACAGCTTACCTTTAATTCCTTTTTGGTCTCTCCGCTACCAGCGAAGAATATCATAAATAACCTCTCCCTGCGTGCTCGTTGTCGAAGATCCTGTATTTAAAACAAACCATTTAGTAATTTTTTTTTTAAAAATCTTTTAAAACATTCAGTTATTCTCATTTCAGAATACTCAACCTTTGATGTCTAAATGATTGATTTTTAATGGATTGAAATTTGAAACACAAAAACAGGTTTTTAAATTTAATTTCCTATAATAATCTCATGTACAGCTGATCTTACAGAAACACTTAAACAACTGAATGCCCCTAGTGCTCATTTAAACAGATTATCTGCTACTGTGAAATTGACAGATGAAACAAATGGATTGTCTACAACATACACATCCACATTACCCTACCCCCCCATCCCCCAATGAGAGCTGGATAAACTCGGGTGGGTGTCAATTGGTGTGTTAGCTGAGGGTGTCACCACACCCCCTTCCAAAAATTGTCTGTATTTTTCAATTTGGTGGCACCCTCTAAATGAGGTTAGAATGATGTTAAGCAGTAGGTTAAGGTTAGGATGATGTATTTGTTAATCTTCCCACATTTTCTTAAAGAGTGTGTGTAGTAGTGTGGTGCTAGTTTCTATATCTGCTGTCAATGCTTCTGCCGGTATACCATCTATTCCTGGAGCCTTCCAATTTTTCAGCTGCTTTATAGCTTTATGTATTTCTTCTTTTGAAGGTGGGTTATATATATATATATATCTCTATAGGGAGATCCCTTTTATCTAGTGGTATATCTTGCATGCACTCTGGTGTTGGTCTATTCAGTAGTTCTTCAAAATGTTCTGCCCATCTCTTCATCTGTCCTTCCGCATCAGGTATTGTCTTACCATCTTTGGTCTTCACTGGCCTCTCTGGCTTACTGTATTTCCCAGATATCTTCTTAATTGTAGTGTACACGTCCATAATATTCCCATGGTAAAGTGCTTCTTCTGCTTCACTTGCCAGCAGTTCTAAATAACTCCGTTTATCTTTTCTGATGCATTTCTTGACACTTTTGTTTGTTTCTGTGTATTCTTCCAGAGCTTTTAATTTAGCAGCCCGTGTATGACTGTTGTTTAATGTTGTCTTCTTCCTTTTTCTCTATAATAATTTTCAGAGTATCTGCTAAAATCCATTCCTTATTTTGGTTTTGGATAGGGCCTAGAAATTCTTCACATGTTGATGTAAATAGGTTTTAAGTTTTTTCCCATGTTAGCTCTATCGTCTCTTCCTCTATTAGCTCTTGTAGTACCTGAAACTTGTTGGAAATATGAAGTTTAAATTCAGTTAGCTTAGCTGGGTCCTTAAGTAGGCCAGTGTTATACCTGTATTTCCTTTTGTTTTCCAACACGTTTTTCTTCAACTTGAGTTTTACTTTAGCAACAAGAAGGTGATGGTCTGAAGCAACATCAGCTCCTCTCTTGACGCGTACATAGTGAAGTGATCTCCTGAACTTTTTTGTAATACATATTATGGTCTACCTGGTTTTCTATAGATAGGTCGGGTGATACCCAAGTAGCTTTATGTATTCTTTTGTGATGAAAGAGACTCCCTTCAATTACTAAATCACTTGTGGCACACAAGTCAGCAAATCTTTCTACGTTTTTGTTCATCTCACCTAAACCCTGCTGCCCCATACATTCCTCATATCCTCTGTTGTCGCTTCCAATTTTAGCATTAAAGTCACCCATGAGTATAAGGATGTTTCTTCTTGGTCGGTTCTGGATAATGGTCATTAGCCTGTTGTAGAATGCGTCTTTGTCCTCCTCTTTGCTGTCGTTTGTTGGGGCGTAGGCCTGTATTATGTCCATGTTTATTCGTCTTATTTTAGTTTTAAAGGTAGCTGTTATGATCCGCAGGCAGTGTGTCTCCCATCCAATGAGAGCCCTTTGTGCTTGGTTTGATAGCATGAGTGCAACTCCTTGAGTATGTGGTGCTTTTTCATCCTCATAGTCTGGGAACAGCAATAGCTCTCCTGTTATTAGTCTTTTAAAAAGAAGACCAGATTCTGAGCTACTTTCAAACCCCATGTCACAAACCATTTCATGTTGGACGGGTATCCACTATAATCTGAATTAAATGAACAGCTGCACAAAGCTAAACATTTTTAAGCCATTAGTCTAAGGTTAGATAACTACTTCGAACATCAGTGCCGTAGGGCTTAATAGGCAAAAAAAAAAGAAAAAATTAAATTAAAAAAAGAATCACTTTCAAGAGTTTCACTTACATTTAAAAAGACGAAACATGAGAACGGGATCCAGAGCATCAGAGTGATTAATATTATAGCCATAACTAAATTTGATTTTATGAACCGGTCTGGGGACGAAAATTTATTGTCAAAACATTTTCAAAGGTATAGTAAAATGATATTTCTTTTGTTATTTAATAACTTTGGTCCTTTTTCTTCTTCTTCGTTCTTAATTTTTAGTGTTGAAAGGGATTGCGCCTTATCTGCCAGAGGGTTTGAACTCGAGACTTTTTTTTTAAATTTATCAACCATGAGCTTTGCCGACTCGACCATGCTTCCATCATAATTAAGGATTACGTGTCAACTGGTCATGCGCCATTGAGGCCATTGACTCCGATTTCAGCCTGCTTTTCTTTTTGGATTTGCTTCCATAGCCTTTGTCCAACCAAGAACAAACTACAAGGCAGCAGTTGTTTGATTTTGGAGTTGTCTCTCCTAGAAGAGTGGCTGTCCCCAGCTAACGAGCCTCATCTGCCTGAGGGTTCGAACTCGAGACTTTTCGGTTTAGCAACCATGAGCTTTACCGACTCGACCACGCCGACCCCTTTGGTCCTTCTATATTGGCCACACCAAACAAATAGCTTCCAAAGGCTACAATGATTTATTTTTTTATTCACTCTGTGGAGCCAGAGGTGTATTTAATTTGTTCACAATATAGGACTAAACATGAGATAAAATGATTTAGATTAATCCTTGAGCATTAACTAGGCAACTTGAGTATACATTTGTGAAGTGAATTAGTCAAGTATTAGTGTAGCTGTATCCATAGGCGTAGCGAGGGGGGGGGGGGGGGGGGGGCGGATGACACCATTTTGGGGGGTGACACCAAGGCAAAAAATAACAAAATATATAAAAAAATGATAATTCCACTAATTAAGTAATTAATTCGAGTGTTAAATAGTGTTTTAAGAGGTGCAAATCAGAAGTTTGAGGGGGGTGCAAATTGAAAATTTAAAGTTTGTCCCCGGGAAGGGTCGCTATGCCTCTGGGGGGGGGGGGGTGACCCCATTTAGTGCTGCACCGGGTGACACCTGACCTCGCTACGCCACTGGCTGTATCTCATTCAAAATTAAATATATGAAGAAAAAAAAACAACAAGATAAATTTAGTTAGAATTATGACTATGTGATTGGAATTTGTGATGTCAGCTTCAGATGAGAAGTTAGAGGTTAACATAGGCAAAAGTTGAGTTTTTATCAATAACCTCTTCCCCTCCTTCCCCCTCCTCTACCCATAATGCTTCTGCAAACAGTCATAGTTTGAGCCAGAGTCTTGTATTTGTCTGGCTGTATAGAAAGTAGGATATACTGTGCAGGAAAGAATTTGCTCTGTTCTGGGTATAGTATAAGGACCACAGACTGGAAAATAAAAAATAGTGATAATTTTTGTAAATAAAACAAAATGATAACTTACCTAATTTATCGGTAGGTATGGAGGTTAAATAGCTATAAAATCGTTTGACAGTAGACGTGACATGTGATTTACACTCGCCATTCTGGGGAAATAGTTTTAAGACATTTTTTACAAAAAACTTCAAGAGTGATGGTATAGGGGCCTAAATATGGGAGATAGTACTGCCATATGGCTCGGAGACCTGGAGGGTTACATAATCAAACAAAACAGGCTACGCAGAACTTTGACCACTGATGCTTTGACCATAGGTGTTATTACCACAGTAAAGCTTTGACCTTAGGTGTTATTACCACAGTGAAGCTTTGACCATAGGTGCTATAACCACAGAAGCTTTGACCATAGGTGCTATAACCACAGAAGCTTTGACCATAGATGCTATAACCACAGTGAAGCTTTGACCATAGGTGCTATAACCACAGAAGCTTTGACCATAGGTGCTATAACCACAGAAGCTTTAACCATAGGTGCTATAACCACAGTAAAGCTTTGACCATAGGTGTTATTACCACAGTGAAGCTTTGACCATAGGTGCTATGACCACAGATGCTTTGACCATAGGTGCTATAACCACAGTGAAGCTTTGACCATAGGTGTTATTACCACAGAAGCTTTGACCATAGGTGCTATAACCACAGATGCTTTGACCATAGGTGCTATGACCACAGATGCTTTAACCATAGGTGCTATAACCACAGATGCTTTGACCATAGGTGCTATGATCACAGTGAAGCTTTGACCATAGGTGCTATAACCACAGTGAAGCTTTGACCATAGGTGCTATAACCACAGATGCTTTGACCATAGGTGCTATGACCACAGTGAAGCTTTGGTCATAGGTGCTATGACCACAGATGCTTTAACCATAGGTGCTATAACCACAGTAAAGCTTTGACCATAGGTTTTATTACCACAGTGAAGCTTTGACCATAGGTGCTATGACCACAGATGCTTTGACCATAGGTGCTATAACCACAGTGAAGCTTTGACCATAGGTGTTATTACCACAGAAGCTTTGACCATAGGTGCTATAACCACAGATGCTTTGACCATAGGTGCTATGACCACAGTGAAGCTTTGATCATAGGTGCTATGACCACAGATGCTTTGACCATAGGTGCTATAACCACAGATGCTTTGACCATAGGTGCTATAACCACAGATGCTTTGACCATAGGTGCTATAACCACAGTGAAGCTTTGACCATAGGTGCTATGACCACAGAAGCTTTGACCATAAGTGCTATAACCACAGTGAAGCTTTGACCATAGGTGCTATAACCACAGAAGCTTTGACCATAGGTGCTATGATCACAGCAAAGTTTTGACCATAGGTGCTATAACCACAGTGAAGCTTTGACCATAGGTGCTATGATCACAGTGAAGCTTTGACCATAGGTGCTATGACCACAGATGCTTTGACCATAGGTACTATTACCACAATGAAGCTTTGACCATAGATACTTTTACAGCAGGTGCTTTGACTATAGATGGTTTGACCATTTTTTTTTTAGTTTAATTAGATGTTAAATTAGTCATTAAAAATTAATTAAAAGGTTTTGAAACTAAGGGGGCATAACAAGATTAAACGTTAGAGATCACTTGATAGATTACTATATTCAATAACAGGAGGGGCGACAACTAATTATCAGTTTATTATTGTTATAAAAACTGCATGGTGAGGTGCTGCCTATGTACAAAGCCCTGCAGTTGTCAAACCACCTATGGTCAACCTCTTATGGTCAAAGCACCTGGAAAATCACAAGCGTTAGTGAATGGACAAAGTAGATGGAAGTACAACCAGAAAGAAATGCTGGCTGAAGTCAATATGATGCATTACATAATAATAGTGTTGCTGGAATTCACTGCATTATTCCATTTAAGAGGAGGATGGAGTGGTCTAGCGGTAGAGAGCTGGACTGCTAACCCATAAGTCTCAAGTTCGAATCCGGGTTCAAGTCAGTAGACCATCTCTGAGTCTACCTAACTCCGATGGGTACCTAACTTATGTTAGGGAGAGTAAATGGCTGGCCATATTACTGACCACACTATCTCTTTATATGCCGAGGTCACAGAAACAGGTGAACTCTACTTCACTTGCCATATACACCGTCAGGTTTGAAAAGGGAATTACTTTTTTTTTGCTTTACATTTAAGAAATAAAAAGAGGAAAAAAATCTAGACACTGCACCTATATAAGGTATTGCTAATCCAACTATCCCTTCAAATCCTGAGATTTTACAAGCAGATAAAATCCACTTTTTTTGCACTAATTGCTTTTTTATTTTCTTTTAGTTTATAAATAAGGCAATAAATTACCCACTATTAAAGCTGAGGTGAACACTTACTTGGTCACAGTATTTTCTCTCTATTTAAATATTTAGAGTAAAGAAATCAAAAGAGTAATTTGGGTATTAGCCGTGATTAGAAGGTAAGGCCAAGTCACTTGATTGTGGGTAACTGGAGAGCTGGTTACCAAGACTTGTTTAGTGTTTGTTTTGTTGGTTGTTATGGTTATAGTTTTTATTTTTTTACTTTTACTCATGGTTTTATAATCTATAATTTTAAGATTAATTTTATTAATTGAAAACAATTATCTTACTTTCGTAGGCTAAATAATTTTTCACAAATCAGTGTTCTATAAAAGCAGCTTAATGGAGCTTTTTTGGATTAGGCCAATATAAGTTATGACATAAACAAACAGTTAACAATTTGGAAGGATGTTTGTTCTATTAGATTTTAAAGAGTTTTGATGATGAGGTAACTCTTTTTTTTAAAGCAACACTTTAATTATGATAAGCTTGGCATATGAATGACTAGACCAAATACACCAATCACATTACTTTATTTAATCACTGAATTCAGGCTCACTAATGGCTGAACACAATACAAAGGCAGTTACCTCACAAAAGCCATAATAGCATGGGTGTCCATCTTTGTGGACCTCCTCAGATCTTGATAAACAAGGCCCAGGTTTATCTGGGTCAGTGGCGTCAAAGCAACAGGATGTACATGCTGTTTTATCTGGCAATGACAATGTTTATAAGTTAGTTGTTCAGCTAGCTGACCCAAGAACAATTAGTGGGTTCAAGGTAAACCCAATTTAGATTAGTAGGTGGGGTAGAGTTTACCCAGCTCTGATTAGTAGGTGGTTTAATCCAACTAGGGACGAGTGGCCTAGCAATATACAGCTAGGCTGCTAACCTGTAAGTCTCAAGTTTAAATCTGTGTTCAAGTCAGTAGACCGTCCCTGAGTCCACCCAGCTTTGATGGGTGTTATAACTCACGGGAAAGTAAAGGAGGCTGGGCATGATGCTGACTACACCATCTCTTCATATGCCAAAGTCACAGAAATAGGTGAATTCTGCTTCACTTGTCCCATACACCATCAGGTTTGGAAGGGGAACTTTACTTTTCTTTTAGTCCACCCAGCTCTGATTAATAGCTATCTTAAGTCCCCTTAGCTCTGATTAGTAGATGGTGTATAGTCCACCTATCTCTGATTAGTAGCAATCTTAAGTCCACCAAGCTCTGATTGGAAGGAGGAATAGTGCACCCAGCTCTGATTAGTAGATGGTGTATAGTCCACCTAGCTCAGATTAGTAGATGGTGTATAGTCCACCCAGCTCTGATTAGTAGATGGTGTATAGTCCACCCAGCTCTGATTAGTAGGTGGTGTATAGTCCACCAAGCTCTGATTAGTAGGTGGTGTATAGTCCACCCAGCTCTGATAAGTAGATAGTGTATAGTCCACCCAGCTCTGATTAGTAGATGGTGTATAGTCCACCCAGCTCTGATTAGTAGGTGGTGTATAGTCCACCCAGCTCTGATAAGTAGATAGTGTATAGTCCACCCAGCTCTGATTAGTAGATGGTGTATAGTCCACCCAGCTCTGATTAGTAGGTGGTGTAAATTAAGAATAGGTTGCAGGTCCTAATAGTGTTGAACTTCCACTCCAACAATTAATAGAGGTAAGCTCTTAATTTTTTTGCACTATTTAGTGCACCAAGTTAAAAGCATGTTGTTGATTAAATAAAACTCAGTGCCATATGTGATAAAATACAATAGGGCCATATAAGTGTACAGTGAAGAATTATTGTGGTACAATAGGGCCATATAACCATACAGTGAAGAACTATTGTGGTACAATAGGGCCATATAAGTGTACAGTGAAGAACTATTGTGGTACAATAGGGCCATATAACCGTACAGTGAAGAACTATTGTGGTACAATAGGGCCATATAACCGTACAGAACTATTGTGGTACAATAGGGCCATATAACCGTACAGTGAAGAACTATTGTGGTACAATAGGGCCATATAACCGTACAGAACTATTGTGGTACAATAGGGCCATATAACTGTACAGAACTATTGTGGTACAATAGGGCCATATAACCATACAGTGAAGAACTATTGTGGTACAATAGGGCCATATAACCATACAGTGAAGAACTATTGTGGTACAATAGGGCCATATAACCATACAGAACTGTTGTGGTACAATAGGGCCATATAACCGTACAGAACTATTGTGGTACAATAGGGCCATATAACCGTACAGAACTATTGTGGTACAATAGGGCCATATAAGTGTACAGTGAAGAACTATTGTGGTACAATAGGGCCATATAACCGTACAGTGAAGAACTATTGTGGTACAATAGGGCCATATAACCATACAGTGAAGAACTATTGTGGTACAATAGGGCCATATAACCGTACAGTGAAGAACTATTGTGGTACAATAGGGCCATATAACCATACAGAACTGTTGTGGTACAATAGGGCCATATAACCATACAGAACTATTGTGGTACAATAGGGCCATATAACCGTACAGAACTATTGTGGTACAATAGTGCCATATAAGTGTACAGTGAAGAACTATTGTGGTACAATAGGGCCATATAAGTGTACAGTGAAGAACTATTGTGGTACAATAGGGCCATATAACTGTACAGAACTATTGTGGTACAATAGGGCCATATAACCATACAGTGAAGAACTATTGTGGTACAATAGGGCCATATAACCGTACAGAACTATTGTGGTACAATAGGGCCATATAACTGTACAGAACTATTGTGTTACAATAGGGCCATATAAGTGTACAGTGAAGAACTATTGTGGTAAAATAGGGCCATATAACCGTAAAGAACTGTTGTGGTACAATAGGGCCATATAAGTGTACAGTGAAGAACTATTGTGGTACAATAGGGCCATATAACCATACAGAACTATTGTGGTACAATAGGGCCATATAAGTGTACAGTGAAGAACTATTGTAGTACAATAGGGCCATATAACCGTACAGAACTATTGTGGTACAATAGGGCCATATAACCATACAGTGAAGAACTATTGTGGTACAATAGGGCCATATAACCGTACAGAACTATTGTGGTACAATAGGGCCATATAACTGTACAGAACTATTGTGTTACAATAGGGCCATATAAGTGTACAGTGAAGAACTATTGTGGTAAAATAGGGCCATATAACCGTAAAGAACTGTTGTGGTACAATAGGGCCATATAAGTGTACAGTGAAGAACTATTGTGGTACAATAGGGCCATATAACCATACAGAACTATTGTGGTACAATAGGGCCATATAAGTGTACAGTGAAGAACTATTGTAGTACAATAGGGCCATATAACCGTACAGAACTATTGTGGTACAATAGGGCCATATAACCGTACAGAACTATTGTGGTACAATAGGGCCATATAAGTGTACAGTGAAGAACTATTGTGGTACAATAGGGCCATATAACCGTACAGAACTATTGTGGTACAATAGGGCCATATAACCGTACAGTGAAGAACTATTGTGGTACAATAGGGCCATATAACCGTACAGAACTATTGTGGTACAATAGGGCCATATAACCGTACAGTGAAGAACTATTGTGGTACAATAGGGCCATATAACCGTACAGAACTATTGTGGTACAATAGGGCCATATAACCGTACAGAACTATTGTGGTACAATAGGGCCATATAACCATACAGTGAAGAACTATTGTGGTACAATAGGGCCATATAACCATACAGTGAAGAACTATTGTGGTACAATAGGGCCATATAACCATACAGAACTGTTGTGGTACAATAGGGCCATATAACCGTACAGAACTATTGTGGTACAATAGGGCCATATAACCGTACAGAACTATTGTGGTACAATAGGGCCATATAAGTGTACAGTGAAGAACTATTGTGGTACAATAGGGCCATATAACCGTACAGTGAAGAACTATTGTGGTACAATAGGGCCATATAACCATACAATGAAGAACTATTGTGGTACAATAGGGCCATATAACCGTACAGTGAAGAACTATTGTGGTACAATAGGGCCATATAACCATACAGAACTGTTGTGGTACAATAGGGCCATATAACCGTACAGAACTATTGTGGTACAATAGGGCCATATAACCGTACAGAACTATTGTGGTACAATAGTGCCATATAAGTGTACAGTGAAGAACTATTGTGGTACAATAGGGCCATATAAGTGTACAGTGAAGAACTATTGTGGTACAATAGGGCCATATAACTGTACAGAACTATTGTGGTACAATAGGGCCATATAACCATACAGTGAAGAACTATTGTGGTACAATAGGGCCATATAACCGTACAGAACTATTGTGGTACAATAGGGCCATATAACTGTACAGAACTATTGTGTTACAATAGGGCCATATAAGTGTACAGTGAAGAACTATTGTGGTAAAATAGGGCCATATAACCGTAAAGAACTGTTGTGGTACAATAGGGCCATATAAGTGTACAGTGAAGAACTATTGTGGTACAATAGGGCCATATAACCATACAGAACTATTGTGGTACAATAGGGCCATATAAGTGTACAGTGAAGAACTATTGTAGTACAATAGGGCCATATAACCGTACAGAACTATTGTGGTACAATAGGGCCATATAACCATACAGTGAAGAACTATTGTGGTACAATAGGGCCATATAACCGTACAGAACTATTGTGGTACAATAGGGCCATATAACTGTACAGAACTATTGTGTTACAATAGGGCCATATAAGTGTACAGTGAAGAACTATTGTGGTAAAATAGGGCCATATAACCGTAAAGAACTGTTGTGGTACAATAGGGCCATATAAGTGTACAGTGAAGAACTATTGTGGTACAATAGGGCCATATAACCATACAGAACTATTGTGGTACAATAGGGCCATATAAGTGTACAGTGAAGAACTATTGTAGTACAATAGGGCCATATAACCGTACAGAACTATTGTGGTACAATAGGGCCATATAACCGTACAGAACTATTGTGGTACAATAGGGCCATATAAGTGTACAGTGAAGAACTATTGTGGTACAATAGGGCCATATAACCGTACAGAACTATTGTGGTACAATAGGGCCATATAAGTGTACAGTGAAGAACTATTGTGGTACAATAGGGCCATATAACTGTACAGAACTATTGTGGTACAATAGGGCCATATAAGTGTACAGTGAAGAACTATTGTGGTACAATAGGGCCATATAACCGTACAGAACTATTGTGGTACAATAGGGCCATATAACTGTACAGTGAAGAACTATTGTGGTACAATAGGGCCATATAAGTGTACAGTGAAGAACTATTGTGGTACAATAGGGCCATATAAGTGTACAGTGAAGAACTATTGTGGTACAATAGGGCCATATAACCGTACAGAACTATTGTGGTACAATAGGGCCATATAACCGTACAGAACTATTGTGGTACAATAGGGCCATATAACTGTACAGAACTATTGTGGTACAATAGGGCCATATAAGCGTACAGAACTATTGTGGTACAATAGGGCCATATAAGCGTACAGAACTATTGTGGTACAATAGGGCCATATAAGCGTACAGAACTATTGTGGTACAATAGGGCCATATAAGTGTACAGTGAAGAACTATTGTGGTACAATAGGGCCATATAAGTGTACAGTGAAGAACTATTGTGGTACAATAGGGCCATATAAGCGTACAGTGAAGAACTATTGTGGTACAATAGGGCCATATAACTGTACAGAACTATTGTGGTACAATAGGGCCATATAACTGTACAGAACTATTGTGGTACAATAGGGCCATATAAGTGTACAGTGAAGAACTATTGTGGTACAATAGGGCCATATAAGCGTACAGTGAAGAACTATTGTGGTACAATAGGGCCATATAACTGTACAGAACTATTGTGGTACAATAGGGCCATATAACTGTACAGAACTATTGTGGTACAATAGGGCCATATAAGTGTACAGAACTATTGTGGTACAATAGGGCCATATAAGTGTACAGTGAAGAACTATTGTGGTACATGACTCACCATGGACAGCACACAAGCAGGGCTTTAGAACGACTGAAAAATTGCTGTTGATTGATTCTAGTTCACAGAAGCCAACACAGCTACCATTGTAGCAGGTCCCTCTACAGAAGACAAGTATGAGTTACAATATATTGATGCTATTTGTCTATGTCAGCCTCTTGTCCATCACACTTTTGTCATGTCAGTCTTTTGTCCATTTCAGTCAATCATTTATGTCAGCCTCTTGTCCATGTCAGCCTTTTGTCCATGTCAGCCTTTTGTTTTTCACACTTTTGTCCTGTCAGCCTTTTGTTCATGTCAGCCTTTCGTCCATGTCAGCCTTTTGTCCATGTCAGCCTCTTGTCCATGTCAGCCTTTTGTTTTTCACACTTTTGTCCTGTCAGCCTCTTGTCCATGTCAGCCTTTTGTCCATGTCAGCCTCTTGTCCATGTCAGCCTTTTGTTCATGTCAGCCTTTTGTCCATGTCAGTCTTTTGTTTTTCACACTTTTGTCCTGTCAGCCTCTTGTCCATGTCAGCATTTTGTCCATGTCAGCCTTTTGTCCATGTCAGCCTCTTGTCCATGTCAGTCTTTTGTCCATGTCAGCCTCTTGTCCATGTCAGCCTTTTGTTTTTCACACTTTTGTCCTGTCAGCCTCTTGTCCATGTCAGCCTTTTGTTTTTCACACTTTTGTCCTGTCAGCCTCTTGTCCATGTCAGCCTTTTGTCCATGTCAGCCTTTTGTTCATGTCAGCCTTTTGTCCATGTCAGCCTTTTGTCCATGTCAGCCTCTTGTCCATGTCAGCCTTTTGTTCATGTCAGCCTTTTGTCCATGTCAGTCTTTTGTCCATGTCAGCCTCTTGTACATGTCAGCCTTTTGTTCATGTCAGCCTCTTGTCCATGTCAGTCTTTTGTCCATGTCAGCCTCTTGTCCATGTCAGCCTCTTGTCCATCACACTTTTGTCATGTCAGTCTTTTGTCCATTTCAGTCAATCATTTATGTCAGCCTCTTGTCCATGTCAGCCTTTTGTCCATGTCAGCCTTTTGTTTTTCACACTTTTGTCCTGTCAGCCTTTTGTTCATGTCAGCCTTTCGTCCATGTCAGCCTTTTGTCCATGTCAGCCTCTTGTCCATGTCAGCCTTTTGTTTTTCACACTTTTGTCCTGTCAGCCTCTTGTCCATGTCAGCCTTTTGTCCATGTCAGCCTCTTGTCCATGTCAGCCTTTTGTTCATGTCAGCCTTTTGTCCATGTCAGTCTTTTGTTTTTCACACTTTTGTCCTGTCAGCCTCTTGTCCATGTCAGCATTTTGTCCATGTCAGCCTTTTGTCCATGTCAGCCTCTTGTCCATGTCAGTCTTTTGTCCATGTCAGCCTCTTGTCCATGTCAGCCTTTTGTTTTTCACACTTTTGTCCTGTCAGCCTCTTGTCCATGTCAGCCTTTTGTTTTTCACACTTTTGTCCTGTCAGCCTCTTGTCCATGTCAGCCTTTTGTCCATGTCAGCCTTTTGTTCATGTCAGCCTTTTGTCCATGTCAGCCTTTTGTCCATGTCAGCCTCTTGTCCATGTCAGCCTTTTGTTCATGTCAGCCTTTTGTCCATGTCAGTCTTTTGTCCATGTCAGCCTCTTGTACATGTCAGCCTTTTGTTCATGTCAGCCTCTTGTCCATGTCAGTCTTTTGTCCATGTCAGCCTCTTGTCCATGTCAGCCTTTTGTTTTTCACACTTTTGTCCTGTCAGCCTCTTGTCCATGTCAGCCTTTTGTTCATGTCAGCCTTTTGTCCATGTCAGCCTTTTGTTCATGTCAGCCTTTTGTCCATGTCAGCCTTTTGTTCATGTCAGTCTTTTGTCCATGTCAGCCTTTTGTCCATGTCAGCCTTTTGTTCATGTCAGCCTTTTGTCCATGTCAGCCTTTTGTTCATGTCAGCCTATTGTTTTTCACACTTTTGTCCTGTCAGCCTCTTGTCCATGTCAGCCTTTTGTTCATGTCAGCCTCTTGTCCATGTCAGCCTTTTGTCCAAGTCAGCCTCTTGTCCATGTCAGCCTTTTGTTTTTCACACTTTTGTCCTGTCAGCCTCTTGTCCATGTCAGCCTTTTGTTCATGTCAGCCTTTTGTCCATGTCAGCCTCTTGTCCATGTCAGCCTTTTGTTTTTCACACTTTTGTCCTGTCAGCCTCTTGTCCATGTCAGCCTTTTGTTCATGTCAGCCTTTTGTCCATGTCAGCCTTTTGTTCATGTCAGCCTTTTGTCCATGTCAGCCTTTTGTTCATGTCAGCCTTTTGTCCATGTCAGCCTCTTGTCCATGTCAGCCTTTTGTTTTTCACACTTTTGTCCTGTCAGCCTTTTGTTCATGTCAGCCTTTTGTTCATGTCAGCCTCTTGTCCATGTCAGCCTTTTGTTTTTCACACTTTTGTCCTGTCAGCCTTTTGTTCATGTCAGCCTTTTGTCCATTTCAGTCAATCATCTATGTCAGAATTCTGTCCATGTCAGCCTCTTGTTTGTCACAATTTTGTCCTGTCAACCATTTGTCTAAGTCAGTCAATTGTCCATGTCAGCCTTTTGTCCCTGTCACACTATGTCCCTGTCAGCCTTTAGTTAGCCTACAGCATCAAACTCAAAAGCTACATCTGTGATAGAGAAAATTACCCTTCAAAACAGCTTGTAAAATCCTTTCCTTTTGCAGCCTCTGGGCAGTCAAGTGACATCCCACTAGGTTAGGGTTAAGGTTTACTACAGAACTCTTCAAACCTCAACTGCTGCATCGTTAACCAGAAACCCATCAGTATGTAACTTATATTATCTTAGAGGTTGTCCAAAACTAATGTTATACCCTAAAATGGGGAAGGGTGCTGATTTTTGTGAAATTATCCTATGAAATGGAGTGGATAAAATGGTTTTTATATATCAGAAAAAAAAAAATTGATTTTGTATTTCCATTTTTAAAATGTATGAGAAATATGGTAATTTACCGCTTTTGAAGGTCGAGTATTTTTAGATTGACAATAAATGTGGAACAATTCAAACTGCTGAAGTTGTGTGGCTCCATTTATAGTAGATCCCTCTGACAGCTCATGTTAACATTTCCTGGACGCCCCATCAAACAGCCCATGTTAACTTTACCTGGACGCCCCCTCTAACAGCACATGTTAACTTTACCTGGACGCCCCCTCTAACAGCACATGTTAACTTTACCTGGATGCCCCATCAAACAGCCCATGTTAACTTTACCTGGACGCCCCCTCTAACAGCACATGTTAACTTTACCTGGACGCCCCCTCTAACAGCACATGTTAACTTTACCTGGATGCCCCATCTAACAGCCCATGTTAACTTTACCTGGACGCCCCCTCTAACAGCCCATGTTAACATTTCCTGGACACCCCCGTTAACAGCCCATGTTAACTTTGGACGCCTCCTTTAACAGCCCATGTTAACATTGCCTGGACGCCCCCTCTAACAGCCAAAGTTAACATTGCCACGACACCCCCTCTAACAGCCCGTGTTAACATTGCCACGACGCCCCCTCCAACAGCCCATGTTAACTTTGCCTAGACGCCCCCTCTAACAGCCCATGTTAACTTTGCCTAGACGCCACATCTAACAGCCCATGTTAACTTTGCCTAGACGCCCCTCTAACAGCCCATGTTAACATTTCCTGGACGCCCCCTCTAACAGCCCATGTTAACTTTGCCTGGACGCCCCCTCTAACTACCAATTTTTATCATTGAGAAGAAATGAATCTAGCTCAACCCCACATCAAAGGATACTTGCAAAATGACTTCTGTATGCAGCTGTAATCCCCTTCATCAGAACACACAATATCCTTCTCAGCCATCTTACAATTTTTACAGCAAGGGGACATTGCGTCACTGTAAAATTCCAACACAAACAGTTTCATCAAAGTACACAGGACGGCATGTAAGAAGATAGAGCCCATGTCTGGTACATTCTTGATTTTAAAAGTTTAACCCTTTGAGCCCTGGCCTCCCTGGCCTAATTTCTCCCATTTCCTGAGCTCCCAGGGCCAAACCAATTTTCACTTATCTGCTTCTAACTTTGCCTATAACTTTTGAACCGTTTGAGATAATCAGACCAAATTTGGTATCCAGACTCAGGATCAAACATCAAAGCAGAAAGATTCTGAAATTCTTTATTTGTTTACAATGTATGAACAGAACAATGTATAAAACAAACATGTAATTATTGTTTTGATAGAAACCAATTTACATTTAGTAATTGCTTTGTTATTATTGATACCTGGCCATACAAGTTCATCGCCAGAAGTCCACTTTTGTGTGATAACTTGCATAACAGTTATCACTGCCGGACCCGATATAAAGAAAAACTTCGCATGTTTTGCACCAGTAAACAGTTTTTTTTCGTTTCGGCAAGTCTTTGTCCTTGGCACCACGTGCATCATAGCGTACTTGAACAGTTTCATTGTCACTGTCAATTTCAATGTCACCGAGCTCAGTCTCAAATTCAACGTCACTATCATCACAATATAGACCCGGAATATTATCTTCTTCATCAGAATCAATAAGTAGTTGTATTGCCTGAGATGCAGTCATTCTACTTCTTTTGTTGATATTTCGGTCTTTTGCTTCATCTTTTGCACCAACTTTATGTGCTGAAGTCGATGGCTGTGGCTCAGCTTTTCGTTTCGGCGGCAATGCTATGAAATGTAAACACTTTCACTTTTCCTAAAATCTACTTTTAGAATCATAATCACGCACTAAAAAGACATATGTGCAGTTTTATTCAGTCTTCCGCTAGTTATAGTTAATTAGACATTATACCGGCCGCTAGGAATATGACGCTAGATCATCGGACCGGAAAACCGGCTTTTCGGACATATATGCCTAATGTTGAAGCCAGTTTACCGGCCTGGCGGGCTCAAAGGGTTAAAATTAGACTATATATAGGGCCCTGATTAAAATCAAGTTTGTACAAACTAAATTGTAGATTTACTATAGGTAGCGTCCTGATTAAAATTGGCTAGATTTGATTTGCTCCTAGTTAAATTGGACTAAGGACCTTGATTAACATTTACCATAAATTACAAATACCCTAATTATTAAACCGTACTATAGTTCAGGCCCTGATTAAAACTGACAATATTGGATGTGCCCCTAATTAAATTAGACTAAGGACCTTTATTAAAACTGACCATAGATTGCAAATACCCAAATGAAATTGGACTATAGATTGGGCCCTGATAAACAGACAATATTGGATGTGCCCCTAATTAAATTAGACTAAGGACCTTGATTAAAACTGACCATAGATTGCAAATACCCTAATGAAATTGGACTATAGATTGGGCCCTGATTATAATAGACCATAGGGTGGACAGGGTGTTAATTACATTGTGCTATAGATCAGGGCCCTACTTAAAATTGACCCCAAATTAGGCATGTCACTAATTAAAAGAGCCTCTAGTTAGACACCTATCTAAAATCCCACCTGCAGATTGCTCCATCGCGCAGCATGCAGGTGGCCGAACAGCACTCATCTAAATCCAAGGCTCCATCAGCACCTGCGTCACACTCTTCGCCATGATCCTGAATGCTGTTGCCACAGAAGCCATGGTTTACATCGTTACCTGAAATGCATGAACCTTCCTTGATGAGGGCTATGGGATAAAAACCTTAATTCCAAAAACGAAATTAACCAGAATTTTTTTCTCTTCTACCTGCGATATAGTGATAACTTGTTAAATATACGTTTAAATTTTTTTTCTTATATAAAAGAAATGAATGTATATAATATGTAATGAATATAAATTTTTATTTCTATGTATTTTATCTGAGGCTAATACACTGTAAAACAACTTTCTAGTTTATAAAAGAAATGAATATATATAATATGTAATGAATAAAACTTTTTATTTCTGTGTATTTTATCTGAGGCTAATACACTGTAAACCATCTTTCTAGTTTATAAAAGAAATGAATATATATAATATGTAATGAATATAACTTTTTATTTCTGTGTATTTTATCTGAGGCTAATACACTGTAAACCATCTTTCTAGTTTATAAAAGAAATGAATATATATAATATGTAATGAATATAACTTTTTATTTCTGTGTATTTTATCTGAGGCTAATACACTGTAAACCATCTTTCTAGTTTATAAAAGAAATGAATATGTAATGAATACAAATTTTTATTTCTGTGTATTTTGAGTAGTTAACATGTTTCAACGAACTTTTTGTATTTACAAATGTATTGACATTCCTGATGGTAGTTATAAGTACCAATGTATATTTTGACCAAAAAAAATTTAGTAAACTAAATTTCCTTCAACCTATAGTTTAAGTGTGTCAAAAGCAATATAGATTCTAATAGCATATTGTTTAAGAAAATTTTTTTATTCAGAAATTAATTCAGTAAATAAAGGGTTAAAAAGACTAAACCCAGAATCTCAAAATATTTAATGAGCATGAGTATTTACAAATGTATTGACATTCCCGATAGTAGTTATATTTACCAATGTATATTTTGACCAAAAAAAATTTAGTAAACTAAATTTCCTTCAACCTAAATTTTAAATGTGCCAAAAGCAATATAATAGCATATGGTTTAAGAAAAAATTTTTATTCAGAAATTAATTCAGTAAATAAAGGGTTAAAAAGACTAAACCCAGAATCTCAAAATATTTAATGAGCATGAGTATTTACAAATGTATTGACATCCCCGATAGTAGTTATAAGTACCAATGTATATTTTGACCAAAAAAAATTTAGTAAACTAAATTTCCTTCAACCTATGTTTTAAATGTGTCAAAAGCAATATAATAGCATATGGTTTAAGAAAAAATTTTATTCAGAAATTAATTCAGTAAATAAAGGGTTAAAAAGACTAAACCCAGAATCTCAAAATATTTAATGAGCATGAGTATTTACAAATGTATTGACATCCCCGATAGTAGTTATAAGTACCAATGTATATTTTGACCTAAAAAAATTTAGTAAACTAAATTTCCTTCCTATGCCAAATCAATATAGTATGAGCATGAGTTTTTACAAATGTATTGACTGCATTTGAAGTAATCAAGTGATGAATTAGTAAGAAAAACAGCTTACTCGTTAAACAGGTGGCCATCATTAGTTGTCTTCCAATAGCTACTCTGGAGCATGGTGAGAACAACTTGTGAAAAAAAAATTTAATGACAAACTCTGGTGTGTGCATTAAAAATATTATTACTGACACTGGGGTCAAGACTTTGGCAATGAATAAGGGAGAGTGGTTCAAGTAGTATGGGATGTTTTATTTATCTATACTGTTACCTTGTTGTTGGGATGTTTTACTTATCTATGCTGTTACCTTGTTGTTGGGATGTTTTACTTTTCTATGCTGTTACCTTGTTGTTGGAATGTTTTACTTATCTATGCTGTTACCTTGTTGTTGGGATGTTTTACTTATCTATGCTGTTACCTTGTTGTTGGGATGTTTTACTTATCTATGCTGTTACCCTGTTGCTGGGATGTTTTACTTATCTATGCTGTTACCTTGTTGGTGGAATGTTTTACTTATCTATGCTGTTACCTTGTTGTTGGGATGTTTTACTTATCTATGCTGTTAACTTGGGATGTTTTACTTATCTATGCTGTTACCTTGTTGTTGGGATGTTTTACTTATCTATGCTGTTACCTTGTTGTTGGGATGTTTTACTTATCTATGCTGTTACCTTGTTGTTGGGATGTTTTACTTTTCTATGCTGTTACCTTGTTGTTGGAATGTTTTACTTATCTATGCTGTTACCTTGTTGTTGGGATGTTTTACTTATCTATGCTGTTACCTTGTTGTTGGGATGTTTTACTTATCTATGCTGTTACCCTGTTGCTGGGATGTTTTACTTATCTATGCTGTTACCTTGTTGTTGGGATGTTTTACTTATCTATGCTGTCACCTTGTTGTTGGGATGTTTTACTTATCTATGCTGTTACCTTGTTGGTGGAATGTTTTACTTATCTATGCTGTTACCTTGTTGTTGGGATGTTTTACTTATCTATGCTGTTAACTTGGGATGTTTTACTTATCTATGCTGTTACCTTGTTGTTGGGATGTTTTACTTATCTATGCTGTTACCTTGTTGTTGGGATGTTTTACTTATCTATGCTGTTACCTTGTTGTTGGGATGTTTTACTCATCTATGCTGTTACCTTGTTGGGATGTTTTACTTATCTATGCTGTTACCTTGTTGGGATGTTTTACTTATCTATGCTGTTACCCTGTTGTTGGGATGTTTTACTTATCTATGCTGTTACCTTGTTGTTGGGATGTTTTACTTATCTATGCTGTTACCTTGTTGGGATGTTTTACTTATCTATGCTGTTACCTTGTTGTTGGGATGTTTTACTTATCTATGCTGTTACCTTGTTGTTGGGATGTTTTACTTATCTATGCTGTTACCTTGTTGTTGGGATGTTTTACTTATCTATGCTGTTACCTTGTTGTTGGGATGTTTTACTTATCTATGCTGTTACCTTGTTGTTGGGATGTTTTACTTATCTATGCTGTTACCTTGTTGTTTGGATGTTTTACTTATCTATGCTGTTACCCTGTTGTTGGGATGTTTTACTTATCTATGCTGTTACCTTGTTGTTGGGATGTTTTACTTATCTATGCTGTTACCCTGTTGCTGGGATGTTTTACTTATCTATGCTGTTACCTTGTTGTTGGGATGTTTTACTTATCTATGCTGTCACCTTGTTGTTGGGATGTTTTACTTATCTATGCTGTTACCTTGTTGTTGGGATGTTTTACTTATCTATGCTGTTACCTTGTTGTTGGGATGTTTTACTTATCTATGCTGTTACCTTGTTGTTGGGATGTTTTACTTATCTATGCTGTTACCTTGTTGGGATGTTTTACTTATCTATGCTGTTACCTTGTTGGGATGTTTTACTTATCTATGCTGTTACCCTGTTGTTGGGATGTTTTACTTATCTATGCTGTTACCTTGTTGTTGGGATGTTTTACTTATCTATGCTGTTACCTTGTTGTTGTGATGTTTTACTTATCTATGCTGTTACCTTGTTGTTGGGATGTTTTACTTATCTATGCTGTTACCTTGTTGTTGGGATGTTTTACTTATCTATGCTGTTACCCTGTTGTTGGGATGTTTTACTTATCTATGCTGTTACCCTGTTGTTGAGATGTTTTACTTATCTATGCTGTTACCTTGTTGGGATGTTTTACTTTTCTATGCTGTTACCTTGTTGTTGGGATGTTTTACTTATCTATGCTGTTACCCTGTTGTTGGGATGTTTTACTTATCTATGCTGTTACCTTGTTGTTGGGATGTTTTACTTATCTATGCTGTTAACTTAAAGATGTTTTACTTATCTATGCTGTTACCTTGTTGTTGGGATGTTTTACTTATCTATGCTGTTACCTTGTTGGGATGTTTTACTTATCTATGCTGTTACCTTGTTGTTGGGATGTTTTACTTATCTATGCTGTTAACTTAAAGATGTTTTACTTATCTATGCTGTTACCTTGTTGTTGGGATGTTTTACTTATCTATGCTGTTACCTTGTTGTTGGGATGTTTTACTTATCTATGCTGTTACCTTGTTGTTGGGATGTTTTACTTATCTATGCTGTTACCCTGTTGTTGAGATGTTTTACTTATCTATGCTGTTACCTTGTTGGGATGTTTTACTTATCTATGCTGTTACCTTGTTGTTGGGATGTTTTACTTATCTATGCTGTTACCCTGTTGTTGAGATGTTTTACTTATCTATGCTGTTACCTTGTTGGGATGTTTTACTTTTCTATGCTGTTACCTTGTTGTTGGGATGTTTTACTTATCTATGCTGTTACCCTGTTGTTGGGATGTTTTACTTATCTATGCTGTTACCTTGTTGTTGGGATGTTTTACTTATCTATGCTGTTACCCTGTTGTTGGGATGTTTTACTTATCTATGCTGTTACCTTGTTGGGATGTTTTACTTATCTATGCTGATACCTTATTGTTGGGATGTTTTACTTATCTATGCTGTTACCTTGTTGTTGGGATGTTTTACTTATCTATGCTGTTACCTTGTTGTTTGGATGTTTTACTTATCTATGCTGTTACCCTGTTGTTGGGATGTTTTACTTATCTATGCTGTTACCTTGTTGTTGGGATGTTTTACTTATCTATGCTGTTACCCTGTTGCTGGGATGTTTTACTTATCTATGCTGTTACCTTGTTGTTGGGATGTTTTACTTATCTATGCTGTCACCTTATTGTTGGGATGTTTTACTTATCTATGCTGTTACCTTGTTGTTGGGATGTTTTACTTATCTATGCTGTTACCTTGTTGTTGGGATGTTTTACTTATCTATGCTGTTACCTTGTTGTTGGGATGTTTTACTTATCTATGCTGTTACCTTGTTGGGATGTTTTACTTATCTATGCTGTTACCTTGTTGGGATGTTTTACTTATCTATGCTGTTACCCTGTTGTTGGGATGTTTTACTTATCTATGCTGTTACCTTGTTGTTGGGATGTTTTACTTATCTATGCTGTTACCTTGTTGTTGTGATGTTTTACTTATCTATGCTGTTACCTTGTTGTTGGGATGTTTTACTTATCTATGCTGTTACCTTGTTGTTGGGATGTTTTACTTATCTATGCTGTTACCCTGTTGTTGGGATGTTTTACTTATCTATGCTGTTACCCTGTTGTTGGGATGTTTTACTTATCTATGCTGTTACCTTGTTGGGATGTTTTACTTATCTATGCTGTTACCTTGTTGTTGGGATGTTTTACTTATCTATGCTGTTAACTTAAAGATGTTTTACTTATCTATGCTGTTACCTTGTTGTTGGGATGTTTTACTTATCTATGCTGTTACCTTGTTGTTGGGATGTTTTACTTATCTATGCTGTTACCTTGTTGTTGGGATGTTTTACTTATCTATGCTGTTACCCTGTTGTTGAGATGTTTTACTTATCTATGCTGTTACCTTGTTGGGATGTTTTACTTATCTATGCTGTTACCTTGTTGTTGGGATGTTTTACTTATCTATGCTGTTACCCTGTTGTTGAGATGTTTTACTTATCTATGCTGTTACCTTGTTGGGATGTTTTACTTTTCTATGCTGTTACCTTGTTGTTGGGATGTTTTACTTATCTATGCTGTTACCCTGTTGTTGGGATGTTTTACTTATCTATGCTGTTACCTTGTTGTTGGGATGTTTTACTTATCTATGCTGTTACCCTGTTGTTGGGATGTTTTACTTATCTATGCTGTTACCTTGTTGGGATGTTTTACTTATCTATGCTGATACCTTATTGTTGGGATGTTTTACTTATCTATGCTGTTACCTTGTTGTTGGGATGTTTTACTTATCTATGCTGTTACCTTGTTGTTGGGATGTTTTACTTATCTATGCTGTTACCTTGTTGTTTGGATGTTTTACTTATCTATGCTGTTACCCTGTTGTTGGGATGTTTTACTTATCTATGCTGTTACCTTGTTGTTGGGATGTTTTACTTATCTATGCTGTTACCTTGTTGTTGGGATGTTTTACTTATCTATGCTGTTAACTTAAAGATGTTTTACTTATCTATGCTGTTACCTTGTTGGGATGTTTTACTTTTCCATGCTGTTACCTTGTTGTTAGGATGTTTTACTTATCTATGCTGTTACCTTGTTGTTGGGATGTTTTACTTATCTATGCTGTTACCTTGTTGTTGGGATGTTTTACTTATATATGCTGTTAACTTAAAGATGTTTTACTTGTCTATGCTGTTACCTTGTTGTTGGGATGTTTTACTTATCTATGTTGTTACCTTGTTGGGATGTTTTACTTATCTATGCTGTTACCCTGTTGTTGGGATGTTTTACTTATCTATGCTGTTACCTTTTTGGGATGTTTTACTTATCTATGCTGTTACCTTTTTGGGATGTTTTACTTATCTATGCTGTTACCTTGTTGTTGGGATGTTTTACTTATCTATGCTGTTACCTTGTTGTTGGGATGTTCTCCAGAGACAGACTTTGCCCACATGAGGAAGTTCCCACCCTGGTTGGATGGACGTGAACACTCAGCCGTTGCTGGGTCATGGCTACTGCCAAAGTTGTGGCCTGATAGAGGTTTGAGACTTACGAGTGGTGTTCACAATATAATGTAAAAATAATACATTTTTATCCATCATCTGTCTCAAAGTTGTGGCCCGAGAGACTAGTATGATTTTATCTGCTAACCTGAAGAGTTATCTTCCCCTTAAAAATTATTTTCCTTAAGAATAGAAAACACATAAAGCTGGGTCTGACATTATATGTGGTAAATTGACATCATAGAAAAATATTCCTAATTTGTTTGTTTCTTTGTAAGTGTGTGGCAAATCGTGTAATTTATTTTGGCCTGTTTCTAATGCAGCTATTTTATTAAAACTTTACAAATAAGTTTGTATCTTATGGTAATGCAGAAATATATCACTTTTAACCAAGATATTAAATCAGTTTGTTAAAATTATAATAAAAAGATTACTAAATTTAATATTTAAAAAAAAAGAAAAGTGAGATATCAATATTAGTTCTAGTCAAGGGCATGGGTGGTTGGTTTTTAAACCTGGGAGCTAACACTAAAGCCAAATTATGGCATGAGAGATTTCATAATTTCAAAGCTTATTATAATATACTTCTTTTTTAAATATTTGTTTAGATGTCTATGTTTTAAAGTAAATCACTGTATGTTTTTTTCTGAACATATATTCCTGACTTTAAAATATAAAAAGGATTAAACTGTCCTTCAGTAGATAATATTTATATTAAAAAAGGTTTACAGTAAAAAAAATTAAATATTATAAATTGCAACCAATTATAAATTAACTTGTCACTGTTATAATTAAATAGATTGTATATAAAAGATGGTACTTACCAATTTCTGGAATATTAGATTAAAAAATTCTTTAATGCAAAACTCTATTACCTGAACATGCTTGTTGTGATTAGGTAAGATGTATTTGTATAGGATGATGTTTATGTACATTGAAATAATGTTAGAGTATCATCCCTTAATTTATTAAATACACAGATAAGTCAGTAAAAAACAAATGGAAGGGAAGTAACATATTGAAGTTAAGAGTTAGAGATTAGGTGGGTAGATTGTCTCTGTTACTATAGGATTGTTGTTGCCTAGTCATTTTATTTATTTTAAAGTTATTGTATGATTGCTATCTAGTCATTGTAGTTATCATGAAGTTATTGTAGGATTGTTAATCAAGTACAATAAAGAAGAAAAAACCTGCAAGCACACTTTACTGAAGCTACAAATTATATATTGTTGAATGCACTGCATTTATTAATTAGTGATGATTCTGCACCTTCATCTCATATCGCAATTATGTCATAGTATAATTTTAGAATTACATTTCTATAACTCTAATTTCTAATAACCTTTCTTGAACTGGCTTGAGAGACTAATCAACCCTTAAAGTGTGTGCCATGTGGCCTTACTAGTTATAAGTTATGTAACAGCAAAGCGGATCGTGGCTTGGTGCACTTTAAGGGTTAAACATACACATACCATGTGCCAGAACCAAGTTAACTTTGAGATTATGCACTGGCCCATGTTTTTCATCTAAACCTGTGGTAAGTGAAGTAGTTTCTTCTACTCTGTTAGACACATCTGCAAAGGAAAAATACTAAACATTAACATTAGTTTATTAGATGCCTGATGTTACTAAAGTTCTTTCCTCTACACTGTCAGTCGTAGCATTTACAATAGAAAAATTATTATCAAACATGAGCATTAGTTTATAATCAGGAAATAAATTTAAATGTGTGGATGGCGGTTGATATTGAATGTCTAGTTAGTCTAGTTGATACCACTTTCAATTGATACTAGGGATGGCATGGTCAGGTAGGACATTGTATGATTGCTTACAACAGAAGTCCCAAGTTCGAACCCTGGGTTGTCACATAATACTTAATTGTGTCTATTAAGAATGAAGAAGAAGAAGTAAGACCTGTTATTGATACTGTTTAGTATTTAGCACAAATATCTATTTACTAACTCAATCATGTTGGCTAGCTACACAATCAGGTTTGCAATTTTTATTTTTGCAACAGCCAGTTTGGACTTTCTGCTCAGGACTATGTTACAACATAGGTCATTGATGTCCAGGTGATTAAATCTAGCCAAAGCAGGAGGTAGAAATTTCTTACCTGAACACATAGCTCCGGTCCACGCCAGCCCTAAAATACGGTTAGGAAAGGCGTGGTAGGTCAGCAGGGCATGCAAGCAGAACCTCATGCCAGATTTTCGGAATCTGTCAGACATTGCGTTTCCAAAAGCCTGAAGCATGGAGAAAAGAAAATTCCACACCTGGAGCTCTCCATAACACTAAAGATTCGCTAGGCATCTTAAGTTAGATTGGTTAGAGCCAAATAAATGTGAGGAGGGGATCCCTGTTACTATCATAGGTACTTTAACTATTTGTTGAGGGCATCCATTGTTAATATCATTGGTACTTTAACTATTTGTTGAGGGCATCCATTGTTGATATCATTGGTACTTTAGCTATTTGTTGAGGGCATCCATTGTTAATATCATTGGTACTTTAACTATTTGTTGAGGGCATCCATTGTTAATATCATTGGTAATTTAACTATTTTTTGAGGGCATCCATTGTTAATATCTTAGGTACTTTAGCTATTTGTTGAGGGCATCCATTGTTGATATCATTGGTACTTTAGCTATTTGTTGAGGGCATCCATTGTTAATATCATTGGTACCTTAGCTATTTGTTGAGGGCATCCATTGTTACTATCATTGGTACCTTAGCTATTTGTTGAGGGCATCCATTGTTAATATCATTGGTAATTTAACTATTTTTTGAGGGCATCCATTGTTAATATCATTGGTACTTTAACTATTTTTTGAGGGCATCCATTGTTAATATCTTAGGTACTTTAGCTATTTGTTGAGGGTATCCATTGTTGATATCATTGGTACTTTAGCTATTTGTTGAGGGCATCCATTGTTACTATCATTGGTACTTAAGCTATTTGATGAGAGCGTCTGAGCATCATTCCTTCATAAGCCGAGGTCATGAAATATAGAATCTCAAGTTCATCAGCCAAATGATTTGCTAGGTCTAAAGAGAAATTTTACTAATGGTCTATTAGAAGTTGGAGCCATAGTATTAAAAACGTTATGGTTGGGAGGGGTGCTTATATACTTACAGTCAGTTTTGTTTCAGAGTCCCATTTTTGACCTTGGCGATTAAATGAGTCAGGGCTCTGATCATCAGAGTAAGATGTGAGCAGTAGCAGCTAGACAATGGATTGGATGAAAGATCAATTACTTGCTACAACTGCTTAAACACCATTCATTTAAAATTATGAGAAAATGTGAATAAAATATTAACGAGTCAGCCAGTACTAAAGTTTACTGTATGAATATGACAAATATGTGTGTGTGTGTTTGTGTATATATATATATATATATATATATATATATATATATATATATATATATATATATATATATATATATATATATATATATATATATATATATATATATATATAATATATATAATATTTATATATATATAATATTTATATATATATAATATTTATATTTATGTTTATGTTTATGTTTGCGTTTGCGTGTGCGTTTGCGTTTGCGTTTACCTTTACCTTTACGTTTACGTTGACGCTTACGCTAACCCTTACGCTTGCATTTGCATTTGCATTTGCATTTGCATTCGCATTCACACTTACACTTACACTTACACTTACACTTACACTTACACTTACACTTACATTTACATTTACATTTACATTTACATTTACATTTACATTTACATTTACATTTACATTTACATTTACATTTACATTTACATTTACATTTACATTTACATTTACATTTACATTTACATTTACATTTACATTTACATTTACATTTACATTTACATTTACATTTACATTTACATTTACATTTACATTTACATTTACATTTACATTTACATTTACATTTACATTTATATTTATATTTATATTTATATTTATATTTATATTTATATTTATATTTATATAAGTAAAGGAACAGTAAAGACACTGTAAAAGTAAATAAAGTTCCCTTTTCAAACCATAGGGCAATTGAAGTAGAGTCCACCTGTTTATGTGACCTTGGTATACGAATAGGTGGTGTGGTCAGCACTAAGCCCAGCCGACAGACAGTGTAGCTTAAGTTAATGTCTCTTTTACCTAAGTATTTGAATGTACTGTAGGCTTTAGGCAACACTTCACCCAGCAGTCTATAGTTTCAATACCTTGAGTCAGGTACTCTCTTGAACAGCCCATAAATCAAACCAAAGATCAAAGATCAACCAAAGTTACTGGGTCGTGTTCAGTAGCACGTTTTCAAGTGCTATTTTACTCTGTTTTCACACAATTGTTTCCACTATATAATAAATCAGTAGGACTTTTACAAGTAGATTTCACGTGGAGATCAATGTCCACATCTGCACATGAGACCTTCCTTAGGTGGTCTTCTGCTTCACTGTGCAACTTAGCCACTGCCTGTTTCAAAAGCTTTCTCAGACTGAAACTTTTTAATCCTCGGGTAATGCCTTTCCAAAACATCAGCTACCCAAAGTAATCCTAAGGACACTAATCTACAAACTGTGCTCACCTAGAAAGTCTAGCTTCAATGCTGGAATTTGACTGTACCATTATATTTACATACCATTCCAATTTTCAGTCCAATATTTGTAAAAGTGTTGTCATCTTCAAACGTGGAAGTCTTGAAAATTGAATCAGCTACACTAAGGAAATGAACCTATCAAGGATGATGATTAGGTGAAAATACTTAACCTCACACATTGTTCTAACATAATATTTTTTTTTAAATAACTTACAATTAAATATCTCAAAAGCTTTACAATTTCTAATATTAAAAGGGGGGGGAGGGGGGGGGGGCTGGTGACTTGAAATTTCAAAACATACAGTAAGTTGTACTTTTAAATATACAAAAAAGTCTTTTGAGTAACTGATCCATCTTAAACTTCAGTAATTAAGTGTAATTTGTGTGAAATTTGATTTTGTGTATTCTAATAAAAAATTTGAAAATAATTACAAAACTTGTTTAGACAGTGTTTAAAATGTTTGCACTTTTAAAGTACAGGCTTACCCCAAAGAAAAGGGGTCTTTATGTTTATAAAGGACTTACATACATAGGCTGATGTATACATGTAACATCTAATAATATTTTAATATTTTATATTGTAACATATACAAATGCATAACTATTCACATATATTTAATGTATAATATTTCAGTATTTTCACAAGTATTGCGATATACATGTACACATATATATAACTACATATATATACACATACATACATTTAACATATATTTTTAATATTTCCACAAGTACTGCCACATACATGCACACATATATAAATGCATACATATACATACACGAACACATATATAAATGATTAGGCCTATATATATATATATATATATATATATATATATATATATATATACATATATATATATATATACATATATATATATATATACATATATATATATATATATATATATATATATATATATATATATATATATATATATATATACATATATACATATATATATACATATATACATATATATATACATATATACATATATATATATATATATATATATATATATATATATATATATATATATATATATATATATATATATATATATATATATATATATATATATATATATATATATATATATATATATATATATATATATATATATATATATATATATATATATATATATACATATATTTATAGTAGCTTGTTGTTTACCATTATGGTCATGCAGGCAACATGGTTTTTATTACAACGCTTAGAATAGAAATCATAGTCTCCAACAAGCATCATATGACAGTGGTGATTATCTAGAGATCTTTTATGTTTAGGGTGTGAATCTGGAAAACAATTTATTGTAAATGCTTGAAAATCAATCATTAAAATACACACAGAAAAATGGGTCACCTTAAATAAGGGAAATGGGCTGCCAAAAATTTAACATGACCAGAAATTTATGCAAAATTCAAAATCAAACAATGTGTATTTCTGAACAAGGAATATAAACATATTAATGTTAAGCTACATTTAAAACAGCTGGAATATCTCAGAGCTGGGTGGACTCAAGGACATCTTAGAGTCACAAGTCTGAACCGACATCCAAACTTAAGACCATCAGCTAGCAGTCAAACGCTCTACCATTCGACCATATCATCCCACTCATTGAGCACTAAATGGGATTAAATTAAAATTGTAATCCTTAGCAGAAGTGTACATAAACATATACTCCAATGGTTGTTCTATTTTTCGAGCCGTCCATAAAACCATACTTAGCACTTGAATGCTGTCTCAATATGTTTGATGAGTCTTTTGCGCCACTAAAAAAAATTTGAAAATATGCTATAAGTTTTATAAACTGGACATTTTTATGAAGCCTCTTTGTGAGACAAAAATGGTACAAAAAAGTGTATTAACTATTTCTTAACTAACCTGATTTCTGACAAAAATTAACTGCCTTTGAGCACATTATTGGTCTAAAGCATAAATTACGCACATTTCTGTGTTACAGTGTTAGAAATTTATTAATGTAAATTAACTAACTGTTAGTCTTAAATTGAAACTCACATGATAACTGATTTTAACTATGTTTACCAGATTTTCGAACTAAAATTTATTAGCATGAATTATATAAAGGCAAAAAAAGGATTTTAAAATAAGTCATTCATAAAACAAAAGTCTTTAAAAATTAAAGACCATACTAAAATTAAAACTGAAAAATAATGTTACCATTGTGGCTCATCGTCTACAAAATCAGAACTCCTGTAAGCTATCATTGTGTCATTTTTTGGATTTTCAGATGCATTAAGCAAATAATAGGCAGGCTGTGAATTCATGTTGATAAATATAAACATTTACATGACAATGATCAACACTAGCACTGTACTATAAAATATAAGAAGTAATCACCAATGAAATACCATTAAGTGTTCTTACATGATGATAGTGGTATCAAAAATTGATATATCTTTTGGAAATAAAAGAACAGCTGTAACTAACCATTAAAAAATAGAAGTCCACCATACAAATGGTAAGTTGTTTTTTTTTATACTTTTAATTTTAAAACTGCTATGAACTTCATTATGTGTAACAATACACTTAGATTTATTAACAAAACTTTTGATGAACACAATACTTTTAAATGTTTCTTAAAACTTCAGTTGAAATTTTAATAAAACAATCAGTTGTTATTTAAACATTCTCTAGTTTAATTTAAGTAAGTGTTGTGATGCACATTTTAGCATAGCTTGTCCATATATATCTACAGCAAAACAAAATTTAGATTTATAAGTTCAGATGGCATTAAAATAAATTAGACATGTAAAAAAAAACCTCACCTCAACAGCATAGGTTTCATTAACATCAAAAATTGTTATAACCCACAATGTATTGTCAATGCAAGCGTGGACTGAAACATCTGGCTTACCTTAAGATACAAACAAGTTCAGAATATGTTAAATGCAAATTATGTAAATATTTATTATAACACAGCTATTTATATCTCCAATAGTTACGTGACTAACGTACCAGTCTCATGCCCAGAGAATAATTTACTTTGGTCGAACTGATGAGGAGTTACACTACCATCACCATGGGCCAACTGAGCTCGGAAATCCTTGGCTAAAACGCTTGTACCAGCTGTCAATGTAAGATCAAAATCTCTGTGTGCAGTGAGATTAAAATAAAGATTATTTTACATAAAGAACATGTAATTTTAACAAACAAAAGGGAGAATGGAGTAGTAAATTTAAATTTAAATGCTGTAAATTTAAATGGAGGAGTAGTGTTATTCCTGCTGTAAATTTCACTTAAATACTTGTTCTTTCATATACAAAAGTTCACATATTTAAAATATGTATACAGTTTTAGTTTTCAAAACAATTATTTCAAAGTGAATACCTGTCAAACATTTTAAATGATAAATTATTGATAATCTCTTCCTTGTTGGCATTTCTTCTTATTCTTTTTGAGACGTGAATGGTGCTGAGAGTTTCATAGTATTTGAGACCTCCGACACAGAATGCTGAATTTAAAAAAAAACATTATTCCCAAATTCAGATGTTATTTGGATAGTCTTGTACTTATAATCTAATAAAATCATGAGTTTTGAATAGAGTGGGGACAATTCTTTTTTTACTCATAATTGTAATAAATCTGACAAATCTAAACAACTTGATTTTCAGAAAAGGCATAAATATGGTGGTTACATTAGGAAGAGATCTTGAACACAAATTCTACACCTAGTTTGTTTTAAACAATTTTATTTGCAGAACATGAATGAATGTAGTGTTTACTCTTGGAACATTGATGTTAAACAAACTAGGCCTCATATTATTTTAAGCATGCCCTTTCAAGCTTTTACATTTATCTTAGCTAAGGTCAACAAATAGAACATTTTATTAAAAAAACTGTTGTCACAAAGAGCCTACCACAGTACCTAAAGCGATATCACAAATCAAATCCCCCTCAACACTTAACAACCAACAAAGGGAATCATATAAATGAAGAACCCTCTATCTATTTAGAAATATTGGTGAGCTAATAAAACAATACTAAAAAAGTACACATTTATTTTCCAACCTCATTATGATCAATTTTTAATTTATTGCACATTTATTCTTTATTTTTTTCAATTTTTGGTTTGTTTTTTACTAGGCCTTATTTTTTTAGCCACTAAAATCAATGTATATTGACAAAGTAGGTCTTTAATAGTTAGCCATTTTGATCTGTTTAATCAAAACACTTAAAACATAAAAACAAACCATATAAAAACCAATTCTCAAGAGCTCTAATAAGAATTTAACACTTCATTTAGATCAAATAATGTGAACATAACAAATTTTAATAATTATTTTTAGTAATTGTTCTGAGGGATTTAAATAATATTTAGTATTTTAGGCTTAGAGATGAATCTAAAGAACATGGCAATTCTAAAAGTTACTGCTTTAGCTGATGAAAGTTATGAGCAGATACCAGCATATCTCAAGTGCTGTAACATTTTATTTGTATTAATGTATTAGATCCTGAGTTTCTTCCAGGCATCTCTTCAAAAAGTCTACCCCCCCCCAAACAAAATGGAAATTATATAGAAAGTATATACTTTTACCAGTGTCCGCCCCTCTGAAAATATCAAGTGCCCCCCCCCCCCCCCCCGAAGAAAAAAGTCTGGAAGAAACACTGATTAGATCTTAGAATCTAGCGTTCTAGCTAGTGTCTTAGCTTAGATCTACTCTAGTCTAGATCTAGATTAGATCTGAGCAGAATTTCTTTCAGGCATCTCTTTGTGGGGTGGGGGGGGGGCTATATACTTTTACGGTTTTTACCAGTGTCTCCCTCCCCCACCCCCCTCCTGAAAAGAAAGTCTGAAAGAAACACTGAATCTGAGTGGGTTTTTTTTTTAAGTTTAAGATTACTCACATCTAGGATATCTATTATCTAAGATCTAGATTATTCTAGATCTACATTTATCATTTAAGTCTAGTATAGTGTAGACTACTTATTTATTATATATTTAACTAGCTAGAGTCTCAGTCTAGAATAGTCTAGATTAAGTCTAGACGTCAGAACTCTAAATTTACTCTAAAATCTAGACTAGAATCTAGATTTAGAAAGAATCGCCTAATCTTTTTTTTTTTAATCTAGAATTTCTAGAATAGGCGATTCTTGATTTGAAGTAGAATCTAGATCTAGATCTAGATCTCTAGATCTAGATCTAGATCTAGTTCCAGATCTAGATCTAGTTCCAAAACATGATTTTTAAAAAATGGTTTGCTAAATACCTTTCTCAATAGTAATAAAAAACAAAATAACATTTACTACGATCATTATATTCTACAAGTCTTGTATTACAAGAAGAGTAGATCTTGATATCTAAAAGTTTAAGTCTCTTGTTTATTTTAGAACAGTTTTAATTTTATAGTTTATACTGTGTCGCCACGGTAATTTTGTTATTTCTACATTGCCAGGTACTTGTAAAATTGAACTATCATGGCAAAGCTGGCAAAAAAACATGGACTAAATGTAGATTATAGTCTAGAATTAATAAACATTTCACAACAATTTAATGTGCTATGATGAACAAATTATTTTGCCACAAAGGACATGGGAGTGGAGGGGAGAATTAGCTTTAAAGCAGGGACAATGTAACCGTAGGAACTGCATATAATATGGGCCTATACAGTGGCGGAACTAGAAAAAAAGGGCCACCCCGCAAAAAATTTTTTTAGCCCCCCCCCCCCATATATATATATAATATATATATATATACATATATATATATATATATATATATATATATATATATATATATATATATATATATATATATATATATATATATATATATATATATATATATATATATATATATATATATATATATATATATATATATATATGTATGTATGTATATATATATCATCACAAAATACGAACATGGGTAATGCTGGCCTGATCGGGTTTTGGAAAACAATCAATTAAAAGAAAATTTCAACTTCATGTCATGTGTGTAAGTCAGGGGTCGGCAACCTGCGGCTCGCGAGCCGCATGCGGCTCTTTTGATGTGAAGATGCGGCTCTTCAGCTCGATGCACAAATATAAATACTTATTTTATTTTTAAAGCTCATAAAAGTATTTGTCTGCGACACTCAGAAATGAACGATATAATAATAAATATAAACAGTAAACACTCGCTATTCTATTAGAATATTTAGTGACTCGATATTTCAATTTAGACCTTTTACCTTGTTTCCTAAAACTGAATTATTTAAATATAAAGAATGCCTGTGTTTGGATCATATTTATCGGGGCACTAGCGCCCACCACCATGGCGTGCTGTGTGAAAGCCTTGAGTGTAAGTTAATCACTCACCGTAATATCACCGTTAATCACTCACCGACGGTAAGTGGCGCTCTCGTGAATCCGATAACACGACCGCCGGGGCGTCGCGTAGCCCCTAGCTCGGTTTAATTATCCAATGTCGTATTGTAGGGTGCTCCTTAAAACTAAGGTAGGTGCTTAGTGCTCACGGGATAGCCCTGGGCTCCAAATCGCACCCTGCAGTGACGCCGGAGGACGCGCCTAATTCAATTTAGTGAGCGACTATAACAACCTATTGTACCCATAGCCTATCGCGCTGTTTAAAATGAACGTATTGTCGCTCATTGTGTCTATAGTGTACAGCCTTTAAAAAAAAACATTGTAGGCGCTACAGTGCTCGCAGGGTCGCCCAATGGACGAGGCGCTGGCGGTTGCGTCTGTTGCAGTTTTGCCGCTGAATATAGTAGTACCCCTTGCCCGCTATGCAGAACGCCCGATTAACGGATGCCAAGTACTAATATAGCCGCTCTGGAACTCTGGGGGCCAAAACGTGTATTGACAAAAAATGCACCACCCGGGCGCCACCTATAAGAAATTTTAATTTTTTTTTCGCAGCAATCTTCTCGGGAGTATTTTTATCTACTCTACAAAGTTTCATGGCACTCGGATAAACTGTGTCGAACCGCATACAACTTTTTTTTACCGCATATAGAGAAAAATCGCACCTCTCTCTCTCTCCCCCCCCCCCCTGGGAGTATTCCCAACAATTTTTCCAAGTTTCATGGCGATCGGATGAAAGGTGTAGTAATGCATAAAAGAAAAACAGACACACACAAACACACATACATTGTTTTATATATATATATATATATATATATATATATATATATATATATATATATATATATATATATATATATATATATATATATATACATGTTACGGTCAAAGCCCGAAGAGCGGCCAAAGCGCGGATTGGCCGGCCAATCCGCGCATTGGCCGGCTCTCTTGGTCAAAGCCCGAAGAACTTAGCACTAAGATCTTTTTTCGTACATTGGCCGGCCAATACGCGCACTGGCCAGGACGTACTGGCCAAAGTCCGAAGCGCTAAAACTTGACAGCGTATTTTGTACATTGGCCGGCCAATGCGCGCACTGGCCGGCATGTCCTGGCCAATGTTCTATCTAGACTAAGTTATGATCGCATTTTCATTATTCTGGGTGCATTTTCATTGAGAGTAACATATTGTTTAGCTCTTGTTTGTATAGCATTCTATATGCAAGGCGACATGGATCAAAAGGGCCGTCAGACCATGAGACAGTCATAGCAGATGGCTGTCAAAGTAAAAAAAAAATGTAAATCCATGTTAGTTTCCATATATGGGCTCTCGATAAAATAGTTACTGAGGAAGATCTTGAGAACATTGAACAAGAAATGGAGGTTGCCATTAATGCAACGACATCCTCAGCTAACACATCTGCTGCCGTGGCGGAAAGCCCAGACCAGTTGCGTGACAATAATGTGGCCAACAGATTCTGTATAGTTTGTGAAAAACATTGTAGTTCAGCCCATTCTTGTGGATCCTCTGGCAACGATGTCCATGCTATTCGTGGAATACCCAATGAAGCAGACGAAGGGTACGGAGGGAACATTACCTGCAGATTGTGTCACAACAAACAAGACATCATGGAACACAGATCAGCAGCTCATACTGGCTTGCAAACTCAAGGTGCTAAGATGCTTAAAACATCAAATACAAAATTTAAAGATGGTGAAGTGGGTGACAATGTACGCATCCGTTTTCCAGATGTTGACAGAGGTCACGGTGATCCCCGAAGCGTGATTGCAGTTGTCATGAGCGTCGAGGGCGGTTTCTACAAATTAGGAACGGAACATGGTGTTCTAAAACAACTGTATGCTAGAAGTGAGTTTTCAATTCTTCACGAAAAACTGCTCTTATTGTTGTCAGTTGGCACTGAGGAAAATTCACTACGAACCATCGCATCTTCACAATCATTGACTGGGGGACAAGGCTACACTCGCTGCAATTGCACAAATAAGTGCACAACAAATCGCTGCAAGTGTAAAAATAACAAGCAGCTATATAGTACTATAAAAAATTTGAATGTTTCTGTCATTTACTTTAATTAATAATCAATAAAGACTTAATTTCATGATCATTACGGCATAAAAAAAAAACCAAAATCTGCTCATGATCTTCTAATTCGGACTTTGGCCGGTCGTCCCTAGCCAGATGATCTTCTAATTAAGACTTTGGCCGGTCCACCATGGCCAGTCCGCAGACTGGCCGGCCAAAGGCCGAAATCAAGCAAAGTTTCGGACTTTGACCGACCTATGGGAGGCGATATTGGCCAATCCGCGGATTGGCCGACTTCGGGCTTTGACCGTAACATATATATATATATATATATATATATATATATATATATATATATATATATATATATATATATATATATATATATATATATATATATATATATATATATATACATATATATATCAAATCCTAATTAAAGATCATAATATTAATAATAATAGTATAAAAATGTTGGCGGCTCTTTAAAAACTTAGTAATTAGGTAAATTGTAACTTTTGGCTCTTCTGTCTCAAAAGGTTGCCGACCCCTGGTGTAAGTGCATTAGTGTGTTTTGTGAAAATCAGTTTTAATTAGTTTTTGATAGATGCCCTCTTGAAATCTGCTCGGTCAAAATAATATAAAACATGAAAGCTTTGTATAAGTAATGGTGTCTCGTGTTATGTTTATTTTTATATTTTTTTTATTTATATTATTGATTTTAAAATATTATTGATTTAACACATTTCTTATTTATACAATGTCATTCTTTAATAATTACTTATAAAAAAATAATAATTAAGAGAAGTAATTGCTTTTTAATTTGTTTAGTACAAATTTATTAAAAGGAGCTAATGATAACCCCTATTTGATTATTTTAAAAAAAGGGAAATAAGTCATGGAAGTGGTTTGAACATTTGCTTATCTTTGATAAGTTTAATTGTAGGAGAAAGACTCGGCTTTCACAGTGGTTTAAAAACAAAGGGAAAAAGAATATACAAGACGCGGGGATGGTGTCTATATAATAAAGATAATCCAACCGCAGCTACGGTAATTTTTAACAAAACAACCATCAAGTCAAAAATGAAAGAAAAATTCCTTTGTATATAACTAAAAAACTATATAACTATAAAAACTATATTTACCCCCCCCCCCGCATTGCGGGGTCTGGCGGCACTGTAGTTCCGCCCCTGGGCCTATAACACATAGATAACACCATAACAAAAAAAAAACAGGAAATGTTTTAAGTTGTAACCTCCCCTACCTCAAAAAAGCATTATATAACATCAACAATTTATGGACCACGACTCCTCGTAGTATAAAACATTTATCAAATCAAGCCCCCACCCCCATCCCATCCGATAAGGATACTAAAAATTTGGTACTACAAAAATATTGAATTTTAAAACTGTATTATGGAAATTGCATTATTCTAGAGAAAATTGCTCATAACCTCTTCCTCAACACCTAGCCTGTTGTTTCAAACTTTTTTTTTTATGTCTAACATAAATGGGCGAAAGTTACTGAAATACACATAATCAAAGGCAGTGATAGTGATTTAGATCTAGGGGAAAGTATGGGCTAAAAATAACAGTCGTACGTTGACACAAGTGGCCAGTGTTTCTTCAAGACTTTTTTCTGCGGGGGGGGGGGGGGGGGGGGGGGGTGTAGACTTTCTTTGGGAGGGGGGGGGTCAGCCATTCTCCACCCCCCCCCCCCCCCCCCCCGAATAGATGCCTGAAAGAAACTATACCAGTGGCCTACATCCATATTTTGATCACGTTATTAAAATTCGAAGCATTGCTAGGAACCTTAAATGAAAATTAACATGTAATGGTAAAATGAAGCGGCTCGCACATTACGTTTTTCATCAATTTTGTTTCAGTCCAATTCGAATTTTCAACGTGGGCTTTGATTTTCTATTTTATTTTGGTAAGTTAACATTTATGTTATGAAAATATGTCTACTTGTGTCCTGTATAAAGCTCCAGTGGCGTAGCGAGG